GCCATATTTTGGTTTTAGCCCCTCCCCAAAGCCATCACCGCCAAAATATGCAACATATGCAATACTTGTACCACCTACCGCCGAATGGTATCACCGCCAGAATCGAACGATGTGTCCCGCACAAAAACTACGTCACCGAGAAAACCATTCATTGCAATTCCCCCTGTCTGTCCAGCTACCTCCTCATTTCGGAATGCCTTGTCGGGATAGTTCCGACTCGCATCGTTCGCTTTCTTCAAGGCTCACGAAACTCGGTGTACTCACAGCCAACCCTCCCGGCAAGGTGTACAACAAATTCCAAAAAATTACAAGAAGATTCGCGAGCAAAAGGGGAATACTTGCATCGATTCTCTCCTTGCCTTCTGCATGTCAAAACCTTGCTTTCTACAATACACGCCCTCCTGTCACGACGTTTGTTGGGCTGTTGTCATCAATAGGGTGTACCTTATTGAGGGTAAGATGTGGGATGGCCAGGAGGTATACCTCTATGGTGCCCAAACCACATAATAATTGTCTGCTCTGCGTGCCCCCTGCGATGAAGTCGGATCCCATTTGCTTCAGCTCAGACCTTCTCTCCACAATAACAAAAGGGACTATCCCATTTATACACGATCGTGGAGCCAGAGCCTCAAGCGACATAAAGTTTGCCTGCCCTTTGTCTAACGATCAAGCTACACCATCAAGAGTTTGGCTCCGTCATACTCCCTACAGAGCCAGGAGTATAAAAAACATGAGTTGTTCGTTGTGTGTGTCTATGCACCTCAGTTCCACGTCGACGATCCTTGTGATGGGCAAGAACATGGTTTCTTCCACAGAGACGTACGCCGGGCGTTCCTTTCCCGTTGAAAGAGAGAGACAAACGTGACACGTGAGGATAGCAAATATATAGTCGAATGTAGCGTTCCACGGTGTGATATTCACACGCCTTCTCTTTCTGGCGTGGTGGCGTACCGTGCAGCAAGAGCAAAATGACTTCTCCGACCAGATGTCGTGCCACGCGGTAAGAACAACAGCCCAATCAGAGCATATCAATGTATTTTTTCCCCCTCCGCAGCTCAGCGATCGTTCAGCGAACAGATCTCAACGACAAAGGGCGACATCTTTCGTGTGTTTGCACACTACGAGGTCACGGTCGACGAGGGAAACGGACGGCTGAATCATTCTCGCGATGATAATTGTGTGAGGCATGCACTGAAGAAGGAAGACGGAGAAACACTCCGTTTGGGGTGCGTCTAGAAATGAACGGCAACGAGAAATGTCAAGCTAGACGACGTCCAAACGGAATGGGAAAAAAAAACTGCCATGTTGTTTCAACACGTCATGCAGTTGGTTTCACGTCCTGTAACTTCACAGGGAAATCGGACGCATGAACGTCATTCCACTTACTGTATTAAACAACTTTGCTGAGAACAGCCAGCGACAT